AACAAAAAGTGGGGGAAAGAAAATGTGCTACATTTGCACAATGAACTATTACTCAGCTGTTTAAAAAAATCATGAAATTTGCAGGTAATGGAGCTAGAATGGATGGATGGATGGATGGATGGATGGAGCTAGAAAAAAGTCATTCTGAGTGAGTTAATCCAGACCCAAAATGACACACATGGTATGTACTCATTTATATGTAGATATTAGTTGTTATCAATAAACAGGCTATAATCAACATAACCACAGAGATTTGATACAGAGTAAGGAGCTTGATGAGGGGATGGATCTACCTAAGAAGGGGAAATAGAATAGTTATAGAAGGACTGTAGAGGGGACTGGAACAGAAGGGTCAAACAGGGAGTAGGAAGGAAGAAAGGTGTAAGGAAGGGAATGTGGTGAGGAACAGCTAAAACTACAGGTGATTTGAGGGGCTGTTAGAGACCTAATACAGTAAAAGCTTCTTAAAATATATATGTATGTGAAAGAAATCAAGATGGAATAACAAAGCTCCAACTAGACATCTCTTGCCACCAAATGAAACCTCCAATTCTGGTTATGAATTATATCTAATCAAATTGTTGGCCAAAAGGACTCTAAGGAAATTTCCAAAACAAACTAGACTATCACCAAAACTATTGGTTGCTCTTCACCAACTAATGGTAAGACTTTATTGCTGAAGACGATGCCTACAAAACTCACTGAACATGGAAAAGTGAAGCTGGTGCCTACCTAGAGCCTTCATTCCTACTGACTAGTATTCAGAGTACTTTAAGGTACTCTGTACACTAACAAAGGGGAAAGACAAACAAAACACAAGCTATCGACCCTACAGTCTACAATGATGACTTACCTGAAAGATGTGCTGCTGCAATAGTGGCACAAAGCTTTTGGGAGTAACCAGGTAATATCTGGTTGGATTTAAGGACTACTCTATGAAATGGAACCCATTCCTGACAGTGCTTGGGATGGCTAAGAAGCTGAGACTAGATAGGCTATGGGCCACAGGAAAACTCAAATACTACTATTTTGCTAAAGGAACATAGCAAAAAAATGACTCCAAAAGACATTCTTCTGTATTCGTAAATCAGTGTCTTGCACAGTCATCATTAAGGAAGTTTCCTCCCACAGTAGATACAACCAAATACAGAGGCTCACCACTGGGCAACATGCAGAAAGTGAGATGCCTTAAAACACACATTGCCACACAGGATGTCTTCATCAAATTCTTTCACTCCGAGATCAGGGAAATTTGTGGAAGAGGAGGCAGAAAGATCATAAGAGCAAAGGGGAATGGGAGACACCAAGGAAACAAAGGCCAACAGAGCAAACACACACAGGAACCAGCAGAGACTGTGGCAGAACATATAGAGCCGGCATGGGTCTAATCCACACAAGGTCCCAGCTGAGAGGGAAAGTGGACACAAGCCCCTATCCCTAAGCAAAGCTATCTCCAGTTGGCAATCACTTGGAAAGGAACAATTAGTTTTCTCCAACTGGATCTCATTGAGTATAGAAACCACACTTAAGGCCAGATCCCATGCCCACAGTAGATGGTTAACACAAAACAAACTCAGTTTTTTAAAGTTGTCTCATAAGGCTGTGTCTGTACAATTTTTTTACATTACAGGTCTTCTTCTTATATATTATGGTTACATATTCTGTGTTTTTATGGGATTTCTGTGTGTACAAATGAGTGTGTCTCTTTTGTATGTGATTCTTACACTTTTTGTTTGACTCTTTTTGTTTGTTTATTTGTTTGTTTGTTTGTTTGGGTCAATTCTGTTTTGTTTTTTAAGTTGCTTGTTTGTTTTCTAACAAGGTGTGGAGGAGCTAGAAGGAGTTTGAGGAGGAGAAACAGTAATCAGAATATATTATATGAAAAAATCTATTTTCCATAAATAGATACAACATAATTGGAAAAAAATCACTAATGTCAACTCTACCTTAATGCTCTTACAGAGGACCTAGAGTTGGTTCTTACTGATCATTTGGCAGCTCCTACCACCTGTAACTTCGATCCCAGGAGATACAAAAAACTCTTCTGGCCTCTCTGAGACAATGCTTAGAAGTGGTAAACATAACTCATAAAGGTAAACACACAAACACATAAAGAAAATAAAATGAGTAAAAAAGAGCAAATAAAAAAGACAAAGGTATGAATAAAGACAGGAAATTTTATAATAACAAACAAAATCCATCAGAAAGACATTAACAATTACAAATATAACATTGGCCAAAGATCATTGAAACAAATAAAAAAAACAGCAATTTATAAATAGACAAATCAACAAAAACTAGATAGAGATATTTGTGTGACATATTTAAAAATAGACATGGGGGCTGGAGAGATGGCTCAGTGGTTAAGAGCATTGCTTGCTCTTCCAAAGGTCCTGAGTTCAATTCCCGGCAACCACATGGTGGCTCACAACCATCTGTAATGAGGTCTGGTGCCCTCTTCTGGCCTGCAGGCATACACACAGACAGAATATTGTATACATAATAAATAAATAAATATTTTAAAAAAATAAAATAAAAATAGACAAAACAACCAGGTAGAATATTGAAAAAGAAATGTAAGACATTAACAAACCTGCAAACATGCTAGATACAACATACATCTATAAAGACCTATTTCTACTAAGAAACTACAGTTTTCTCAAGTTCACAAAGAAATTTCCCAGGATATATGATTCAGTACAACAATAAATAAGCCTTGATAAATTTCACAAGATTGAAATCCTCCAAAGTAGCTGGTCCTGGTGGTGCATGCCTTTAATCCCAGCACTCAGGAGGAAGAGATAGGTGAATCTCTGTAAGTTCAAGGCTAGCCTGGTGTATGGAACAAGTTCCAGGACAGCCAAAGATAGGTTTTGAGAAACACTGTCTCAAAAAAAAAAAGAGAAAGAAAGAGAGAAAGAAAGAAAGAAAGCAAGCCAGCCTCTTTTTGGGTCCCCTGACCATAAAAGAATGTAAAACAAAAAAACACCTGAAAAATAATTTAAGGAAACACCATAATGGCCTTAAATATGACAATGATATTTTACAGACAATATGAAAGAATAATTGATAAACTGGGTGGTGGTAGTGCATGTCTTTAATTCCAGCACTTGGCCAGGCTGCTCTGCAGAGTGAGTTCCAGGAAAGCCACAGCTACACAGAGAAATGCTGTCTCAACATTACCCCTACCCACAAAAAAAGAATAACTGATGAAGGAAATAGTTGATAATTAATTTAATTAATTTATTTTTTTAAAGCTTCTGCTCTGTGAAAGACAATGTCAAGAAACATAAGCTATAGACTAAAAAAATTTGCAAAAGATATGATTTTAAAAAGTCTGCTATCCAAAACATACAGAGAAGTCTTAAAAATTAACAATGAAAAACAAATAACCTAATTGAAAAAAGTGTAAGACAATCTATGCTCATGTCTATCCAGAGAATACATATGCACACATGAATCAACAACATAAACTGATGAGGATATGGAAGATTAGAATTCTCATTGTTGGTGGGAATGCAAAATGGCGCAGCCAGTTGGGCAAACAATTTAATCCTCTTCTAAAATTAAACAATAACTTGGCATGGTGAATCAAACCTACAGTCCCAGCTCCGGAAGACTGATGCAGGAAGAGCTTTCATTTAAGGCCAGCCCAGGTTATATAGTGAATTCCAGATCAGTCTGGTCTACATAGTAAGACCCTGTCTGAAAATATTAATAACAATATAGTAAGATGACACATCTGAAATCATTTATCAATATATTTTAATTATTATATTATTGTTAATTAATATTATTAATAATTATTTAATTAATAATATTTTAAAACTACCAATACGTAAAAAACAGCAATTGCAATTTCAGTCTTTGATATTTTACCACATCAAAAATGTATGACCAGGGCTCACTTTGGTGGCACTGAGACTGAAGTTGAAATGATGTAGAGAACATTAGCATAACTGCTGCAAATATGACAGGCATTTTTGTGAAAGTCAGATTTTTGTAAAATATGTGCTATGCATGAGCAAATATCTTATAATTAGGCCCGTTGTTTTGTATTCTAATTTCTTAGTTAAAAATTTTCTAGGAAACAAAAATGTTCAAAACTATTAAAATATGTTCACCCAAAAATCTGCACAAAGACATCTATAGCAGCATTATTCGTGAGTGATAAAACTTGGAAGCAACAAAATTTCCTCAACTGGAAGAGTAGATAAATAAATAAATGTGGTACCCATAAACAAGGAACTGTGAGAAAAAAATACGAACTTTTTCAGTCATTGTTCTCTTGATTAGCACTGGTTCCTCACTATCAATTGCTTAAGTATATATGAAATGGAGTAAAATGGCTCATAAATAACAATCACTAAAAAAATAACAAGAAATGCAAGCCAGACTATCCTAGCCCCATGGAAAGGCTAGAACAGTTAGGATATCATCTGTGAAACGGAAGTAGTCCCTGTTGAGTGCAACACATGCAGTCCGTTGCTCTAGAAGAGCTAGGCGGAGGGCGACCTAGCCGCTGCCGTTGGGGTCCTTAACAGCAACGCCGGAAAGTCAGTCGATCTTCAGGTCAGTCAATACCTTTTCCTAATACCACCAAGTTTAAAGACTTGTTTTCAAATGCCTAAAAGAAAGTCAAGAAAAATGCCCCGACTTTCAAAAGCAAAGAGCAGGGGGTCCACGCCCTCGGGTGTGGAGATACCTGTTCCTAACTGCTCTGTTAAGAAAAGGAAGAAGGCCGCTAACCTTCAAACTAAGAGTCCCAAGAAACTGCATCAAACCAAGAAGGATCACCAGGACAGACTAACACAGAAAGTAGCCACCGAGGAACCCAAAGAGGTTTTACTGGGCCTTGGTGAGAAAGTCGAAACTGGTAGAAATTCACGAAGAAACCCACAGGCCTCTGGCCTAGTGACCGTAGCCATGGCAACGCGTTCGGCCGTTGCCAGAAACAGCCAGCCTTTGTCTAGCCCCGTGACTACAACCATGGACGAATGTTCGTCTGTCAACAGAAAGGGCCAGTCTTCGTCTGGCCCAGTGCCAACAACCATGTCCACAGACTTGACTGTTGGCAGAAAGAGCCAATCTTCACCATGCCTAATGACCACAGCCATGACTACACGCTCGTCCGTTGCCAGAAAAAGCCAAACTTTGTCTAGCCCAGTGACTACAACCATGGACAAATGTTCATCTGTCAATAGAAAGGGCCAGACCATGTCCACAGACTTGACTGTTGGCAGAAAGAGCCAATCTTCACCATGCCTAATGACCACAGCCATGACTACACGCTTGTCCGTTGCCAGAAATAGTCAGTCCTCAACCGGTCCAGTAACCAAAACCAAAAAACCAAAACCAAAAACAGACTTGGCTGTTGACCGAAAAAGTCCCACAACTATAACCATGCAACTGGGCAGTAGCAGAAAGAATGAATTTCCATCCAACCTGGTGGCCACAAATACAGCCACACACTTGGCAGTTGCCAAAAATGAACATCCTTTACCTGGCCCAGTGACCACAGCCATGGAGGCAGACTTATCTGTTACCAGAAAGAGTCAATCGATGTCTGATTTGGTAACTGCCAAGCACTTAGTAGCTGCCAAAAGAAGTCAATCTCTGTCTGCCCAAGTGATGGCAGCAACAAGCTCACCGTTGGCTGTTACCAACAAAGGTCAATCTTCATCTTACCCCATGACCACAGACCTGGTCATACCCTTAACTATTGATACTACAGGACAATCCCCATCGGTGGATACAAGTAACATGAAACAAACAGTTACAGAAATGTCTAACAAGGAGACGCGTGCTCCAGAAAAACCTCCTGAGAACAAGCGAAGATGTACTAGCAAGGAAAGGCCTCCTGAAAGGCGTTTCAGTGTAAGGCTGGTGGAGAGTTCCTGCAGATTCAGAGATATTGTGGTGAGGAAGCAAGATGGCTTCACCCACATCTCTTTATCCACAAAATCATCAGAAAATAACTCACTAAATCTAGAAGTGATGAAAGAAGTTCAGGATGCTCTCAACAAGGCTGCTCTTGATGACAGCAAGCTGGTACTTCTCAGTGCAATTGGCAATGTCTTCTGCTTCGGACTGGACTTTACGTATTTTATACAGCGCCTCACAGCAAACAAGAAAAGAGAAAGTGCTAAAATGGCAGAATCAATCAAAAATTTTGTGAATACGTTCATTCAGTTTAAGAAGCCTATTATTGCAGCAGTCAATGGCCCAGCCCTTGGCCTGGGAGCATCTATACTGCCTCTCTGTGATGTGGTTTGGGCTAATGACAAGGCTTGGTTTCAAACACCCTATACCACCTTTGGACAGAGTCCAGATGGCTGTTCCAGCTTTACATTTCCCAAGACTATGGGAGAAGCCTCTGCAAATGAAATGTTGCTCAGTGGGCAGAAGCTTACAGCACAGGAAGCTTGTAAGAAGGGCCTGGTCTCCCAGGTATTTTGGCCACAGACCTTCAGGCAGGAAGTCATGATTCGAACCAAGGAGCTTGCCTCATGTAATGCAGTTGTCCTGGAAGAGTCCAAAGCCCTAATGCGCTTTACCATCAAGATGAAGTTGGAGGAGGCCAATGAGAGGGAGTGCACAGTGCTGAAAAATATTTGGGGCTCTGCAGACGGGATAGAGGCCATGTTAAAATATTTGCAGAAAAAAATTGAGAACTGATTGCTAGGACTGTCACTGATGACCCTGGAACTGGTTTAAGCAGAACATTAGGATATCACTGGTTCCCAGTTAAAAATACCTACCCTTAAAGCCTGAAACAAGTTCAACTATATCTCATGCCTAGAAGTAGGAGTGGAACACTCAAGATATCTATTACCAACGAGTTTTAAAGAATTGTGACTATAAAATAACTAACTGCAAAGTAACTTTAATCAAATATCCTTATATCCATATACAAGCAAATATGAAATGGGAACGATGAGCACTTGTTGGGCTAGTACTATATTAAAATGTCTATTCTATTCTTCTGAGGTGACAAAAAAAACTCTGAAATTATTTTTTTTCTACACGTTTTCCCTTTCGATGTGATATTTGCTTTCTTTACTTATTTTCCTTCCAGAACAAAGAATCTAAAGGAATATTAGCCAGAATCACATCCCTTTCTAAAAAGAGATACATAAAGATCTAAGACATTTCTTTTGTCTCCAGGAAGAGAGGTAAAAACACCCTAGGAATGAGAAATTCTAAAACAATTAAAAAGGAAAAAAAAACAGCTTTTAAGAAAAATATTTCTGGTGAAAAATCTCAACATGCACCTATGGTTCATGCTGAAATCTCAGCTTTTTCTTCCTTTGCTATGTATGTCCAGCTCTTACCCACTTAGCATTAAGAGACCTCTGTCTCTTAAAGAAAGCTTATACTGCAGTATCAGTGCATAACTGAGTAGTGTAAATAGGAATGGCAAAGTTAAAAGTTAGTCCTAGAATGTTTTAAATCTATTAAGTTAGTCCTAGTGTGTTTTAAATATGCCTCGCCATTTCAAAAATGAACTGCATCTTGTTGCTTGGTGGAAAATATTCCTTTATACAAAATTTTGGTTTGCTATTTGCAAATATGATTGATGCATGGCACCAGAAAAACTTTAAGTTTATAGGATATAATTTTAGGTTCACTTAGGATATATTTTATTAAGTAAGGTAGAAATTCTTTTTGCATACTATTAGTTACAGTGAAAATAAATACACAATTTTGGTTTGCTATATGCAGATAATGTTGGTGCACCAAAAACAGCTTTGACATTTATAAACTATAATTTTAGTTTCCCTGAGAATAAATTAGGTAATATAAATAATAAATAAGGTAAAATTATTTTGCATACAATTAATTATAGAACTTTTAAAAATTACTTTGTATTTGATATTTAATGTTCTTGGTATTAGCTGTAATATATCTACCATATATTAAGTACTATACTATGTCTAAGAATTCCCTGTGGAAATATACAGGTTCATTTCTTTCAGAAATAGAGACTGATTCCTAACCACAGAAATCTACAGTGAGACTACTGACATTTCAATAATATTGAATGTATGAAAAAAGAAACAAAACCTAAGCCTCATTCCTTAATGAGGTTTATACTTGGAACTCCCTGACTACTCAGAAAGCTATACAATATGGAAATCTGCCATTACTTTGGACTGACTAGTACCACATTCTTTACAGTAATTTTTAGATTTATTTTATTATTTTATTACATGGATGTTTTGGTAGAACATTATATACATCTATGCAACACATGTATGGCTAGCACCTCAAGTTAGAAGAGGGCATTAGATTCCCCTGGAACTGGAATTGCAGGTGGTTGTGAGCTACCATGTAGGTGCTGGGAATCAAACCTGGGTTTTGTGCGAGGACAAAAAGTACTTTCAATCACTAAGCCATCTCTCCAGCCCCTACTGCAAACTACTTTACCATTCTGTAGTTCAAACTACATAAAACTAGTTAACCTATAAAGTTTTATAAAATATAATCAGCTGTGAAAACTGATTATAAATAATATCTTCTGCTTGTTTGCCTTGAGTCAGGGTCCAATGTACCCTAGAATGACCTCCAATTCTTCAGGAGCCAAGACAGGCCTTCAACTCCTGATCCTCCTGCCCCTACTTCTTCAGTGCTATGATTATAGACATGTGTCACAACTTTGAATCTACACACATGAAAAATGGTATAAAATGTTATACACCCACTGTACCAATGTTCATTTTCTGCCTATAATATACTTAAAATGGCCTCGAGATTCCTCCTATAATTGGCTTCAAGAAGTATTGTTTATATAAATTATATATATATATAAAACATAGAATCATATATTATATTGAACATATATTATTAAATAAAATTTAAGTATATATTAATTTCAAATTATAGCAGTAAAACAATTATATATCAGCATTAATATTTTATTAGAACAAATTTATGTTATAAAATGATAAATACATTAAGAACTGGAATTAACTTACAATTTTGCAAATATGTTTAACATCTGACTTAACATAAAATATCTATACTATCATATTTGCTTGTTCATTCACTGTTAGAATATGGATATTTTTGTTGGTGGTGGTTTGTTTTTTTTTTTGACTGAGGACATATGAAATCTTGTCTTCTCATAAATATGTAGTTGGAAAAGGTATAAGAAAAACCTTTCAGATAATTGTAGCAATCCTTTTTGCTGTCAAACTTTATTTTGTTGTATTTGTTGTTGTTATTTTAAGTCTTCTCTTATATGTTACATCCCAAATGCAGTTTCTCCTCCCCTCTTCTCCCCAGTCTCCCCGGCCCAACCTCTGCCCACCACCCCGAAGTTCCCCTCTCCCCAAGATCGACCCCACGAAGACCTCCTCTCAGACAAGAACAGGCCTTGTCTGAGAACAGGGACATCGCCCAAACACAGCACAAAAAGCTACAATAAGACCAGGCACATGTCATCAAATCAAGGCTGGATAAGGTAACCCAGTAGGAGGAATAGGGTCCCACAAGCAGACAAAAGAGTCAGAGACAGCCCTCACTCCCACTGTGAGGAATCCTATCCTACAAGTAAACAGAGGACCTGCATCAGACTCCTACAGGCTCCCTGATCTCCGCAACCCATAAGTCGCAGGACTCCCCAAGCTCTGCCTAATGTTTGGCTGTGGTGTTCTGCATCTGCTCCCATCAGTCTCTCTGGTCTCTGCTGTGGCTTCAGCCAGGCTCCAGTCCCAGAACACTCTGTGTAGGACAAACAGTAAGTGGAAGGTTTTGTGGCTGGGTTGGTGTCCCAATCCCTTCACTTGGGGCCTTACCTGGTTACAGAAGATGGTTGGTTCAGGCTCCATGACCCCCATTACTAGGAGTCTTTGCTAGGGTTACTCTCATAGATTTCATGGAGTTTCAACTGCACTAGGTTTCTACCTCACCTCTGAATGTCTCCCAATTCTAGTCATTTCTCCTAGGATTTTCTCCCTCCCCCCCACCTGATCCTTACTGTTCCCAATCCCACCTGCCCCCAGTTCATTGGTGGTGTCATGTATTCTATTTCCCCATTCCAAGTCAACCCTTGAGCTCTCCTTGTTACTTGGCCTCCCTGGATCTGTGGATTGTAACATAATTATCTTTTACTTTACAGCTAATGTTCATTTATAATATTTGTCTTTCTCATCAGGATTACCTCATTCAGGATGATTGCTTTTGTCTTGTTCCACCCATTTGCCAGCAAATTTTATGATGTCATTGTTTTTAACAGCTGAATATTACTCCATTGTATAAATGTACCACATTTTTTAATCCATTCTTCATTATTCAACATCTAGGTTGTTTCTTGTTTATAGCTATTACAAATAAAGCTGCAATGAACATAGTTGAGCAAGTGTACTTGTGGTATGTTGGAGCATCCTTTAGGTATATGCCCAGGAGTGGTATATCTGGGTCTTGAAGTAGATCAAATCCTAATTTTATGAGAAACCATCATATTGAGTTCCGAAGTGACTGTACAAGTTTGCCCTCCCCTCGGAAATGGAGGAGTATTCCCCTTGTCCCACATCCTCTCCAGCATGAGCTGACACTTGTGTTTTTGACCTTAGTCATTCTGATAGGTGTAGGATGGAATCTCAAAGTTGTTTTTATTTGCATTTCCATGATTGCTAAGGATGTTTGTTGAACATTTCCTGAGTATTTCTGGGCCATTTGAGATTCCTTGGCTGACAATTCTCTGTTTAGACAATTCTCTGACCATTTTTAATTGGATTATTTGGTTTATTAATTTCTAATTTTTTGAGTTCTTTATATAGTTTGGATATTAGCCCTCTGTCAGATGTAGAGCAGGAAAACCTTTTCGCATTCTGGTTGCCATACTTTGTTACAACAAAACACCTAGGTTTAGAGAATATGTAAAAAACAAGGTTTGTAATGTAATGGGCGAGGTTCAGCTCGGCATTTTGGGAGTTGAAAGTCTAAAATTAGGATGTCTCACCTGTTCAGCCTCTAGTAAGGACATTCTGGCAACATCACAATATAGAAGATGGTAACATGGTAGGAGTACATGCAAGAGGAACAGAGCTATTACATGGCAAGACAGGAAGACAGATAGTGTCACGGTTGCCCTCTCATGAAAAATAACTGAAGGTCCTAAAAAAATTACATTAATGCCTATTAAGGACAATGCTAGGGCTGGAGAGATGGCTCAGAGGTTAAGAGCACTGGCTGCTCTTCCAGAGGTCCTGAGTTCAATTCCCAGCAACCACATGGTGGCTCACAACCATCTGTAATGAGATCTGGTGCTCTCTTCTAGCCTGCAGGCATACACGGAGACAGAATGTTGTATACATAATAAATAAATAATTTTTTTTTAAAAAAGGACAATGCTACCAGTATCTTGTTGTGTGAAGTTTTACTCTTTTTTGGCTTGGGGGGGGGGCACCACCCAGTTCCCAAATAAATCAAACACAAAGTCTTATTCTTTCTTATATATGCCCAGCCTTAGCTTGGCTTGTTTCTAGCTAGTTTTTCTTATCTTAAATTATCCTGTCTACCTTCTGCCTCTGGGCTTCTTCCTTTTTCTACTTCTGTGTATCTTACTTTCACCCTTCCTCTGTGGCAGCTGTGTGGCTGGGGTGACTGGCCCCTGAGCACCAAATTGCCTTCTATTCAGACAATCTTGTAAACACTCCACAGCCTCGCAACGTAGCCAGACTACTAATCACACTTCCAGCACATGAACTTTTGAGAAATACATTCAAATTGCATGCAAAGTACAAAGCCAATCAAAATCTTACAAAGAGTAGTTTCTCAAAGATTAGTGGCAATGTGTAAATCAGAAACTGTATCAATGACCCTTTCATATCCTCAATCACATGTATGACTGACTTTTACATATGTGTAATTTTATACCACCATTCATTGCTCACTTGGGAAACACTAGTTCACTAGTATATGTAAGTCTCATGAATTTT